TCCACAGTAATAAATCTAAGGACCTTAAATCTGGATTGCGATCCAATTTTCATAATAAGTGTTTTTGTGAATAAAAAAAATTGAACCATTTTTGACATGCAGCAAAGAAATATTGCAGTATTCCTAGGTTTCTGACGTTAAAAATTAACAATACTAATTATAATTGTATTAACATTTGTTCAGTATGTCTCTTCATTTAGATAATAATCTTTTATAGTTAAAATTAGTATGACACATATAAGTGTCGTTGTAATCATAATTTAATGATCTATTAAAATCCGTTAAAATTAATATACATTGCAATTTAAACAAAAAGCAGAGGTCGACGCCGACGCCATATATGTGTCATACTTGCGATATACTAGAACCCTTTCAAACTAAAAACAATAATGTTACAGAATTTCAATGTCTCTATCTGCTCCCAAGATACAAGGGCGCGGGGTTCTTAGATGACGTCATCAACTTTCCGAAAGCGATGAATAAATAAATAGCAGTGAATGTTCTATAACCTTTAAATTAGAATGTGTTAATTGTTTCACTAAAATTTACAAAAATGTCCATTATGTGAACAAAAATCATCGAATTTAGTAGTTCAAACTTATTTTTTCAGAATAACTCAAAACCTAACTTAAAAATGAGGTGGATTATTAAGCCATAGGTAAAAGAAGATATTACTGTCCATTGCCAGATTTAAGTATCTAACCATATTTTGAGGTAATATGAAATTTTGGAAAATTTAAATAAACAAATAAGTACAACAAAATAATCTTTTTGGTAGTGTTCGATATTCGATGAGTCACCGACGAGTTTAAGCACCTTTTCTCTGTGCCCGTATCCTGTACGGCACATAATGATCCTTCGAGCCGGATATTAGTGCCACAACAAGTGAAAGTTCGACACTTAATTTACTGAAATATACTTACATAACTAAAATACATATACACTCTTTAATAACCAATAACTATCTATCTCTCCGTGTCCGTACCGCGTACGACATAGGTACATTGTGTAAATACATATATGTATATACATGTATGTACAAGTATATAACAATGGTTGCATTAATCTCATTCTGCCGTCGATGCTTTTTGTGGTTTTTTTTTAGAATTATTTTCATTGCGACTTTGTACGTCTTTGTTTCTGGCCGATCTACACACACCAACTTTGCAACAACTACACAGTAGTTGTCCGAGAAAATAATTTCAACGCAATGTACACAAACTTGAAAGTTTGAAACTATAAATCCTTGACTTGAATCCTATTATCATATTGTACTGTATTACAAAATACAGTTTGTTAAATATCTGTATCACAAAGGTTTCGTTTCAAAAGAATCTTTTGTTATATCAGATGTGCTCAAAGAATCTCGTTAGTTATTTTATTGTTCATTCTTATTATTACTTACATTTGTCCGACCCTGTTTTACATGCTAATAACATCAAGTTGTATTTATTAGTAAATCTTGTCCTCCAATGGAATTAAAATTTGAAAAAAAGTAATGTGTTTGATATAAATTTTGAATATTAAGAAATATTGCTTTGTTTCATACACCAAAATGTTTTCTTCGATAATAGCATAATAGGCCAATAACCCTTGGGGGATCATCATGTTACATTAAACTGTATTTGAATATAGATATGTATTCTTGTGTGTCCTTAGGATTTGTCCTTCATCTTAATTGACTTAGTGACCAACTTTATACATAGGTTTTAAGTCAAATGGAATAGCTGTTTATAATTAATTTATGAAATTTAATTTGCAATATACAGGGTGTTTTCGAAATATAGACAATAAAAAAATGGGGCATGGCTCAGAATAAAATTATTTCACTGTGGAAAATTCACGTTCCTAAGTGGTAACACTGTCTAGAAAAAAATATTTTAAATTAAACATAAATTGTTATACACGCCGCTGGTAGTGTTTCTTGACCTACTTCTTTCCATGAATGTCACAGAACCACTCGGACAGTGACTATGTATTTAAACATATATACTCACTGACGCGGATTAAGAACCAAAAACGTGATAATAAATGTGCATCGAACGGTCAGGAGTTGGTTTATGGTGAATTTTTCCAATTCAGAGTATGTGGATATGGTAATGCTTTATGGTGTGCGCGAACATTTGCATCAATGGCACAGCATTTCCGAGATCATGGTACCTTCAACCTCAAACTCACGACTCGTGGCTATGACAGGACAGAAAGAATACTGCAAGCTGAAGAACAAATTTTGGAACGCGACGAAGAAAACCCCGACATCAGCACTCGTCGACTTGCAGCTGAAGTTGGAGTTTGACAGTTTGTAGTGCAAATGGTTGTTACCGCAGTGTCGTGAACGCCCGAACTTTTTAAAGTACATTCTGTTTACGCATGAAGCAGGATTCACTCGCAATGCTGTTCTCAACAGCCACAACACTCACATTTAGTCCGATGAAAATCCACATGCTCGTCAAGAAGTACGATTTCAACCATTGGTTGGATGAAAAAGTTAGTTAATGGAAATCAACAGTGTCCAGAAACTATCGAAGAGCTTCAATAACACGTGGAAGTGGCAGCCGCTAGAGATCGTGGAACTCCCGATGGTTTTTTACCTATCAACAAACACGTTTTGAAGCCTGTATCAAGGACAACATTTTCAACTTTTCTCGTAGAAATGTAGTAGCATTCGACGTTGCTCTTAATTTTTTTTTTTTTTAATAAACAATGTAAAATCGTTGTGGGAAGGACCAAACATCCGTCAAAATCAAAAGTCGATCACCAGGAAGTATTACCAAAAATCGGTCCTGCTCAGGACCACAAAGTTGCTACAACGAATCGCACTGACCTTTAACGATAAATGAATGCATGAATGAACGAATGGTATGCAGCAAAAAATCGGTTTTACTTTTAATTGAAACTGAAAGTGTTTATACCGTTTTTATTCGAACATTTTTCCACCTACTGTTTACATGGTGGGTCAGTGACTTCGTATCGAGGCTGGTTCATGAGGGTTTTGCCCATTCGATTTTTAATTTGTTTTTTCTGTTTTTCTACACTACTACGGCACGTGGGGCCGTAGTTAAAATTACTGCATATACTTATTTCGAAATCAGCCTGTATTACTGCAACACTAGTTATACATAGATCATTTAATGAAGGAACAACAAGTTCCCATCACTTACTGACTTCAGCTAGGCAAACACGATACATGGTTTAGGAATGTGTATATCTTTCAAGTCATACTTTTTGAAGATTTTTTTCTGAAAATCTACCTGAAAGAATACCTGTGGTTCTCAGAATTCCATCTGATACATAACGAGCTTCTTTTTTAATTAACTGTTAAGAAATTTTTCAACAAAAAAATGAACTGTAACTTTCAACATATTTAAAATATTTTTTTCGTAAAGATAACTCGACCTGAAAAAAATAAAGATATTATTAATTTTGTAAAGGCCAAACTAAATAGATACCGCTTTAAGATTTAATAATATTTTGCAAGTAATTTTCAATGAATATGTCAACTTTTTAAATAAACTCATTTTACAGTTTTTGTGAGTTACGACTTGAATATTGTGCTGCAGTTTAATCTCCGTTTGATAATGTGTACATTAATGCCGAGAAAAAGTACAAAAGAAATTTGTCAGATTCATTTACTTTGAACTTATTATTCTTTATAATAACATCAACATAATAAACTTTTAAGTTGCCTGGAATTAACACCGCTTAAAACCAGAGGAATATTATTTGATACAGTTTTTATCTAAAAAATCTTATCCTGGTGATACTGATTGATTTAAAATGGTTTCAGTTTATTTTCATTAAGTAGTTATCTATATTTCCAGATTACCACCCACAGAATTCACACTTTTTGGTATCACTTTTCATAGTTCGCAATATATTTTTCATTCTCCTTGGTTCTGTATGACGATGAGGTTGACTTGTTCATCCGGTGAGACTGACTTGTTAGAATTCCATATTCCAAATTTAAAAAAATATGTTAAATGCCTTGAATTTGTAATTGTAATTATCTATAATTATACTATTTAGTTCTTTGGTATGTTACGAAGATCAAAATTCAGAAGTCCCATGAACACACCCGTAATTTATTTATATTATTTTTTCTTTAAGATTTTATCTATATCTCATTTCATTCGAAAAGAACCCGTTGAAGGTCCAGCTGAAAAATACCACCCTCCCATAGTAATAATATGCAAATCAAAACAAAAAATTATAGGAGTACTAAGTATATAATATATTAAAAAAAAAACAAAAAAAAATTAGAGTAAAATCCAATGAAGATTACTGTTTGAATGTTGGTTAGTGGAATTACAATTACAATTGTGTCATCACTCATCAGATATAATTTAAACGCTGATAATACTTTTTTTTTATAGAAAACTTGTAATCTTATTGGTATAAAAAATATTTCAGCAGATATGAGATCCATACTACTTTTATGAGTAGTCTTTTGGGAAGCTACTCTTACAAAGGTGCAATAAAATTTCAGTATTAATAAAACAAAAGATTATTATCGGATGTCGTAAAAGTTAGTTTAAGATTATCTCAAGTGTTTAAATTGACAGTTCTTAATCCATTAAGTCACTCAAAGCGATGTTAAGGTGACCATTCAAACACCGAGGGGAAGGTGCCAGATGTAGATCCAGCCGATTTAAACGGAGCTTTCTGTTAGTCCTAAACCAACATGGCGTTTGCACTTATCAAATTAGCTTCCCTAATTAACGAACAAATTACATCCGAACTACAGATTTACTAATCTCCAAACTTCGCCGGATGCTGTCCTAATTCATATAAGATTATGTGCAACCACAACTGAACGCCAAGGAGACGTGTTACCTCTATCTCTCTCCCTTTCACTCAACATAACAAATCGATATTAAATGATTTTGACGTTTCGGTGCAAACGTGATTTTAATCCCCACGCTTTTACTGGCTATTATTAAGCAAGACAGCGAATCTCTGAAAAGTTTTTCATTTGTGTTATTTTTTATTTGATGTTCCAGACCCTCCAAAAATCATCAGCATTGGCCGGGATAGAGTCAAGACTGTAACGTTGTTTTCTCCTACCTCGTTCGAGTGTTTGGGAGAGGGGAATCCCCAGCCCACGTATAAGTGGTTGCAAAAGCTGCCCACACCCTCTAATAAAGAAGAGGAACGAAGCAGAGATTCGAAACTCTACATTGCGAACGTCACTTACGACTACCAAGGAGAGTATAGGTGCATAGTGACCAACATTATTAAAGGGGTGGAAAGGTCTGAAATCAGTGAACCAATTATTTTACAAGTGCACGGTGAGTAAAAAGTTCGATCAATATTGGTTTGTGTCCAGCGGCGTAGCAATTAGTTGAACAGTCTCGAGTAAATCTCGTGCGCAATTCTACATACATTCGCATGTATTTAAGACCCTAATTTAAATTTCCAAGATATTAGACGATCTGATAGTGAATAAGATTTACTGCATATAGTTTCTAATTTACAAAGAATCATAAAGTCTTTACTGTTGCTAAAAAAAAATAATAAAACTAAAATTTTAATTCACTGCATCTAGAAAATAATGTTAACTATAATACAAGAGTTGTATGCATGAAAGATATCTAGGGTACTTTTAAAAATGATGTAGGGTTATTTGCATTTTAGAAATTAGTATTTTTGCTACAACAAAATTTTAGATAAAGCGAGGCTGTGATTAATACACATAAGCTTATGCTATTTCTTTTCAACAAACATTAGCTCTGTCTATTATGATCTATGTGTGCTGATCGCAACCTCGCATACGGTATTAGTACTGTTTCTTTATTCTATAATAATAAGTATAATGATAATAAGTTTTCATAGGAGAAAATTCTTCGTATCAACACGATTAAAAAGACAGTTACGTACGAATTATAGTGGACATTACCTTCATCATTAAATTTTTCCAATCAGATGCTTTAAGAAACAACTGATCAATCTTATCTCTCAAAAACTTTAGCTTTTTCATACCTGATTTTCATCTTACTAAGGCAATCAGTTTTAAAAGCGTAACTGATATAACTGTTTACTTTTACCATTATTACTATAGCTTAAAGTTTGAAAACTGTATTATTTGATATTTCAACTTTTCGTCCAAGTATGCAAGAAGAACATATTCATTAATCAATTTCGTCAAAAGAAACTCTTTCTTGATGGCTTTCGCTGTCGCGATGCTAATCTGAAAACCTTTGACAGAAAACTGAGAAAACAGAGAAAACACATCGAGAATTATACTGGTTATTTGCTTTTTGTCATATTGACGGTAAATACCCAATTTGTGAAAAGAACTGCTGATATTTTAAATAGTTACTTGGGACACAATATCAGAAAATGCATTTTCGCAAGTATCGAAATATGTTTTTGAACTATCATTTTTGAAAATGGTACATTCATTTGAGGCTAGTGAAGCATAATTTTTCTAAAATGATCTAGAACGACAAAATCCAAAATACAATAATTATAAAATACATTAACATGTCAAAATTAGTTATTGATATAAAAAAATTATTCTCCCAATGTTGGACTCGTAGCTCGGTAATTTCAGTTTAAACTGGTACGAATTTTGATTTCAGTGTATAGAGTATTTTTACTTAATGAATTTTGGGTTGGCGCTATTGACAGTCAGCTTGTACTCCTTTCCAAATTTATTCCGCAAGAAATTTACAGCTGCCTCTTCCGTCAAAATCTATAAACTTTTGCGTTCAAATTTGACACCTATTGGTGACAAAACTAACATCAACCTAAGTACCAACATTGCAATGGTAACATTACTAAAATTATTATTTCAGAAAAAGCAATATAATTTTTTATATGTAATTCGCGCTAGTTATGCTATTTGGTACTTTCGGCACTTACAACGTAAATATTTTCTGCTTCCGGTTAGAAACAGGGGTTTTCCGAGTCTCTCTAGCAGTCGAAAACTGACATTTCCCGCTCTTCTATAAAATTATTTAACTCAGCCAGACCCTGTTTTTGCGAATACTCGTTTTATTATACTGGCAAACTTGCTCGTATTTGCAAAAGCTTAGGCTAGTAATGTAATTATTTACTCTTACTTTGTCGTGCACCTTTACATTGCTGTCAATGGGCAGTAAAGGTTGAAAAAACGTAAATTGTGAAAAATTTTTTCATCCGAAGTTCTTTGAAAAATTGGGCGATGTAAAAATTTTAAATGAAACCAGCTGAATTGTGAAGATATCATTTGACAAAATCAGTCTTATCTTGGCAAGTAGTAGCCCCGCCCACCCACCCTTCTTTTTTTAGAGAATATGTCATTTGGCAAAATCAGTCTAATTTTAGCTAGTGCTAGTCCCGACCACTCGTTCTTTATTTTTTTTTAGAGAGTAGGTCATTTGCCATGATCAGTTTTATTTTGGCAAATACTAGATGGCCCACTGTCCCTTTATTTTCTTGGAAAAGTAGGTCATCTGCCAAAATCAGTCTTATCTTGGCAAGTACTAGCCCCGCCCACCCACCCTTTATTTTCTTGGAAGAGCAGGTCATGTGCCAAAATCAGTCTTATTTTGACAAGTACTAGCCCCGCCCACTCAGCCTTTATTGTCCTGGAAGAGCAGGTCATCTGCCAAAGTCAGTCTTATCTTGGCAAGTACTAGCCCCGCCCACCCACCCTTATTTTTTTAGAAGATATGTCATTTGGCAAAATCAGTCTAATCTTAGCTAGTGCTAGTCCCGACCATTCTTTCTTTATTCTCTTAGAGAGTAGGTCATTTGTCAAATCAGTTTTATTTTGGTAAATATTAGCTCCACCCGCCCTTTATTTTCTTGGAAAAGCGGGTCATCTGCCAACATCAGTCCTATCTTGGCAAGTACTAGCCCCGCCCACCCACCCTTATTTTTTTTAGAGAATATGTCATTTGGAAAAATCAGTCTAATTTTAACTAGTGCTAATCCCGACCACTCGTTCTTTATTTTTTTAGAGAGTATGTCATTTGCCAAGATCAGCTTTATTCTGGCAAATACTAGCTGGCCCACCCGCCCTTTATTTTCTTGGAAGAGCAAGTCATCTGCTAAAGTCAGTCTTATCTTAGCAAATACTAGCCCCGCCCACCCACCCTTTATTTTCTTGGAAGAACAGGTCATCTACCACAATCAGTCTTATCTTGGCAAGTACTAGCCTCGCCCACCCACCCACCCTTATTTTGTTAGAGAAATTGTCATTTGGCAAAATCAGTCTAATCTTACCTAGTGCTAGCCCCGACCACTCGTCCTTAAAAATAAATAAGATCAGTTTTATTTTGGCCAACACTAGCTCCACCGCCCTTTATTTTCATTAGAGGATGTCATTTGGCAAAATCAGTCTTATCTTAGCAAGTAGAAGCCCAATTTTTACTTCCTGAGCATAAGCTAAGAAAGTATTGTAATCGTCTGGCAAACGGCTACTTTCATGTTTTCTTGACGTTTCGTGACACCTAGAGTACGAAAAAATAGGTTGCCCGTTTCCGTCTGTCATTTGTCGTTTGCCTGTTGTATCTGTGGAATACACAGGCCTGTAAAATTTTAATGTCAAAAAACTGTGTCTGTTTTAACAACTGTTTTACATATTTGATGTATTGTTAATTACGAATGTGAACTTCATTTGTTGCTGTGACATAGTTTATTTGGAAAAAAATACGAAAAACTAAAATTTAAGTAAGACACAATTTTAAAGAAAAATTATGATTTAATTTTTATGGACATGCATTTTTGGAAAATATTATCAAAAATGGTTTTATCCATTTTAGAAATCTTTGTGAAATTGTCGTGTCTTAAAAATTCAATTTAGCCTTTTACTCATGAAACTTGTGTGGTGCTCTTCTTGTTGGAGTGTGCAGCAATAATCCTGGATCATACTCATATTGAAAACTAGTCGAAGGTTGTTTCGACAGAACTTCCCTCGCAGCTGAAGTACAATGAAACATATCCAGCATTTTCGAAAAACTATAAAATTTGATTTTGCGAATTTTATTTTTTTAAGAGAACCCCTACACGTTAAAGTAATAAATATAATGTTAAAGTAAGTGTAAAGAAACATGCTAGACGTATGCGTCAAAAGTCTCAAAGGTGGTTCCCATTTTTAAGAAAGATGATAAATAATATATATTTTGCCTTTTTTTTTCTTAATATACATAGTCACCTTTTCACAACAAGAACCTTATGGGGCGGAGCCTAATTGCAAAATCGATATTTCCTTCTACAAATTTTCCATTGTAAACATGTTTTAAGTTTCTTGTTGTGAAAAGAAGCCTACACATATTAAAACAACCTGCCCTATCTAAATTGTGATGATTTTTTTATTCGTCTAGAACCAAGGGGGCGGAGCTTAACTGCAAAATACTTATTTCTTTACAAGAATTTAAAAACATGTGTTTGAGTATCGTGTTGTTCAAAGAATATTACGTATATTAAGAAAAAAAGCAAAATATTAACCCCGTAAGCTAAGGAAGTATAGTAATCGAGTCCATCGGACCATCGGCCACTTTTATGTTTTCTCGACGTTTCATGATCTCTAGACTATGAAAAAAGTAGTCTTTCGTTTCCGTCTGTCTGTCAAATTTTGTATGTACATTAGGAATATCATGTAGATGGTTAAACGCTAACCAAAATTTGTCTAGTCATCCTCACCAAAAACGTGATGCCATCTCCTCAAAATTTTTAACAGTAAATATTTTTAAATTTTATAAAATCATATACTCCTACACTTGTAATTTACGAATCCGCGTTTAGTTTTAATCACAATTGTTTCTGCAATATTCGCTACGCGCTTTGATTAACCGATATCTCGCGCGCCTCCGAACAACTGCGTTGTAGCAGCTTGGTCTGAGGCGCCAACCAAGTGTTCGAATAAGGTCGGCGCTAGTGAGGTTCGAATCTCATTCGCATCCTCGTTACATCTTTTTTTTCAATGATTCAAATTTTTGTTAAGATATTCAGAACATTGTTAAAAACAAATAATGTTTTAACATCTTTTGAGAAAAAGCTTCATACATTAACAACTTGTTATGGTTTATTAAAAGGATTTGATTTTGTAGCTGTCAATCAGTTACATTCATCATATTTTCCTATAAATTATGGTGCATCCTAGGGATCGGTGTTGAGTCCCCTATTATTTATTATTTATATTAATGACCCACATTTGACAATTTTTAATACTTGATAAATCCAGTCATTTCACCAGAAATATTTGCAATCTGATTCACCGAAAGCCATAAAAAAATGCTTCTTTAACCCACTTCATACATATTGTTACGAAATAAACCCATACGCCGCCCAGGTACGACGT